CTTAGTAGTTATTTTATAAAAGCTGGTGCTCCTGTGTTGGGTGCATATATATTTAGGATGGATATTCCTTGTGGTAGATTGAGTCTTTTACCATTATGCAGTGTTCTTCCACGTCCTTTTTAACTTTTGATTGTTTGAAGACTGCTTTGACTAATATCAGAATATCTGCATTTACCCTCTTATGATTTTTGTTCACCTGAAAGATTGTTTTCCAGCCTCCAACTTTGAGCCCATGGGGGTCCTCTGCAGTGAGATGAGTTTCCTGGAGGCAACAGACTGTTGCATCATGCTTCTTTATACAATTTGTCACTGTGTGTCTTTTCAGTGGCACTTTTAGTCCATTCACATTCATATTGATTATTGAAATGTTAGAGTTTATCCCTGTCATAGAGCTCTTAGGGTTTGCTTTGTTTCCTTTTTACTTTTGTATTTATTTATGTGTGTATTTTCATTTTTGTATGTGCTTTGTATGTTCTGTTAACTCTCTAGTTGCCTGTACTTTTATGATGTCCGTTCTTTATTTTTCCTGTGTTCAACACCTTCATTAGTGTTTCCCAAAGGGCTGTTCTGGAGGCAATATATTTCTTAGAGATAGGATGTCTGGGAATGATTTTAGTTCCACATCTCTGGTGAAGCTTAGCTTGATACAGTAGGAATTTCTCAGCTGGAATTGCCTATCTTTAAGAACATTAAAAATTGGATTCCAGTTCCTTCTGGCTTGTAGTGTTTCTGCAGGTAAGTCTGGAGTGATTCTGATGGGTTGTCCCTGAAAGGTAGTCTGACCATTCTCTCTTGCTGCCTTTAGGATTTTTTCTTTCATGCTTATTTTGTGGAGGCAGATTACTATGTGCCTTGGGGATGGTTTTCAGAATTTCCTGTGTTTGGATGGTCATCACTCTGGCTAGATGTAGGAATTTTTCTTAAATGAACTCATGAAATGCTTATTCCATGTTGTTTCCAGGTTCTCTTTTTCCTTGATGGATACCAATGTTGTGTAGATTTGGTTCTTGACATAGTCCCACATCAGTTGCTTTGCTTCTTAATTTTAAGCTATTGTTCAATGTTTTTGATGGACTGAGTTAATTCCATCTTTTGATCTTAAAACTCTGATATTTTTTTCTTCTGCCTAGTTGAACCTACCACTTATGCTTGTTAGTGTGTTCTTGATTTCTAGGATGAAGTTTTTTGTTACCCTTATTTCAGAGTGGGCTTTTTAAAAATTGGCTACCTCTGCTTTTACTTCCTTTACTACTTCAGTGAGTTTTGCTTCTAGTTTCTCTTGGTTCCTGTCCAATTTTGCCATCCGACCTCTGATTTCTGTAGCTGTTATCTGGGGCAGGTCATTCTTGAGGGGTTTCCATTGTTTGTGTTCTGATAGCTGCTTTTTTAGGCACTGTCTCTTTATGACTCAGAGAGTTGCCTGTGGTTTTTTTTTCATAATCTCTGATTTCTGTAGCTATCATCTGGGGCAGGTCATTTCTGAGTGGTTTCCATTGTTTGTACTCTGATAGCTGCTTTTTCAGGCACTCTTTAAGACACTGAAGGTTGCCAGTATTTTTTTCATTGATTATTCCTTCTTTGTGGCAGGCTTCTCATTGCACTCTATATTTTCTTTTGATTTAAAGCTCTGAAGCTATTCAGTTACTCTCTGTTCTAGAGTCCTTTCTGTGGTTCAATATATGCCAGTCAGTAAGAGAGTGAGGGGCGTTCACATCTGCTCTTTGCTCCACCTTGCAACAGAATTCTGTCATTGCAGAACTTCTCTCTTGCTGCTAAACTTGTGGAGCAGCTGTCAGCTCATGCTGCTAGTGATCTGTGGGTAGCAAGGGGGAGGTGGGTGGGCCTCCCATCTGCTGACTGTGGCCTAAGCCCGGTGCCTTCCCACTGAGAGAGCCCTTGGATGTCTTGTCACTCCCTCCCTATTCAGGTCGTCACTCTGCTCTTTTAATAGAGCAGGTTTTCTGCAACTGAGGAAATGATGGGCAGCACCCTGCCTGGCTGCATGCCTTGAGATGGTTCTTCCTAGTCTGGCTGGGGGGATGGCTATCAGCCTCTAGTGGTACATGTATGCCAGATTCATGTTGCAGGCAGGCCTTCCCCTCCCATGAATTACCCGTCCAGCAGAAAGCCACACTCACCATGCCTGTGCCACGTTTCTTCTGCAGGCAGACCATCCTTGCCCTTGGACCATCTATCTGGACGAAAGCCATGCTCACATCAGCTATCCAGCATGTTGTTCTCTTATTCTGCTTGGGCTGTGGTTGTTCAAAATCCTGAGCCCTGCCCAGAACTCTTCCTGCATGGGGCTGATGTCTGCACCCATCTGGGAAGGGTGAGCCATCCCAAAGCATCTTTGACTCACTTATCCTCTTTAGTCTGCTGGCAGGGCTTCAGTTCTTGTGCTACCCCAGGACACAGTGGAGAATAGAGTGCCTGGATTCCTGCATCTGTCTTCACTTTCCAATCTTAGTTTTTAAATACTTTTAACACCTTTGCAGTGTTTGACTTATGCAACATGCTCTGATTCTGAAGACTTTGGTTATACTTATAGAAAAAAAAACTCATTTTATTTAACTTGTTGAAGATAAGGTTATTTTTCCAGCTTCTTGTGAATTATTGATTTGGTACACACTGAATTGCCTTATTAAATTGTAATTGCATGTTGGATTTGTAGGAAACTTCAGAGATTATCTGGTCTACTTTCTATCAAAAATAGAAATCCCTTCTAAAATTGCCATTCATTGTTTAAGAACTTTTTTCAGTCCTTAAGAGAAAGTTCATTGTTTACTCTTCTTTTTCCTTTCAGATTTTTTTATAAACCATTTTTTAATTAGATATCAAGTCTTCTAAATACTTTTTTCCTGGCCTTCATGGCAGGGACTTTATCTTTTAGCAAGGTCTCAGAGTTGATTCTTTAGCAATGGAATATGAGTAGATGCTAAATAAATATTTGTTGAAATGTTAAAAGAAGGGAAAGAGAGAAAGATCACAAATCATATTCTTTGTTATTATTTATATTATTTGGTTCAGTTATTCTTATATACAGTATCATTTCTTTTTATATACAGAGATAAAATTTCCTACATGCATTTGCAAAGTTATTTTTCTACTAATGCCTTCAAAATTAATAAAGCACTGCCTTGCATATTGTCTTTTCCATGTGTATTAACAAAATTTCTTATTGGTTAGTGTAGTCAAAAATGACTTTCTAATCCTGGCGCAGTGGCTCATGCCTATAATCCCAGCATTTTGGGAGGCCGAGGTGAGAGGATTTCCTGAGCCCATGGATTTGAGACCAGCCTGGGCAACTTGGCGAGACCTCATCTCTACAATAAATCAAAAAATTAGCTGGACGTGGTGGCACATGCCTATAATTCCAGCTACTTGGAATGCTGTGGCAGAAAGATCACCTGAACTGGTTGAGGCTGTGGTAGCCAGAGCTTGCCACTGCACTCCAACGTTGGCAACAGAGTGAGACTCCAACTCAAAAAAAAAAAAAACTTTCTGCCACATAACACACATGTGCTCTGAAAACATCTAGTACCTCTTGATTACTGAAGTCAACTCTATATTAAATGCTAACATTTTTAGAAGAAGAAGTTGCATATCTCCTTACTTTAGAGACATTCTTCCCCTTCTTTGTTCTCAATCTTCTTTATTTCCCTATACTCTTGGAACTGTCCAGGTGCTAGAGATAATTTGTACAATGGATATTATTCTAACTGGAGTTTATCTGTCCACTTCTCACTTTAAATAGCTCTCCTAAATAGCTTAAAGTTTATTTCTTTTTTTCTTTTTTTTGAGTTGGAATCTTACTATGTCACCCAGGCTGGGTGCATAATCACAATGCACCTCAACCTTGACCTCTTGGGCTAAGACAATCCTTCTACTGGGACTACAGCGTGCATCACCACACCTGGCTAATTTTGGGGGGTTTTTTTGGTTTTTTTTTTTTGGAGAGATGAAGTTCTGCTATGTTTCCCAGGTGGTCTTAAACTATTGGGCTCAGGCAGGATCCTCTCTCCTTGGCCTCCCAAAGTACTAAGATTATAGGCGTGAGCCACGATGCTGGCCTTATGTTCTGATTTTGTTTATTTCTATCCAACAAGTAAACTAGAGTAGTGATCTCTAAATAGGATGGTTATGCCCCAGAGGATGTTTAGGATAATCCATTAGCGAAATATTTAAATTTTTAACAATTTTAATTTCTATTTTAGTATATTTCCCAATGTATGCCATACATTAGTACAACAGTACGGTAATACATGTGTGTAATTCATAAATATATGTTTGAATTACATGCATAGTCAAAACATTCACTTGATATGGATACACAATCAAAAAGAGTTGAAAACTTCTGAGCCGGAAGTTCTATTTATCAGGATGGTCATCTTTCATTTTCAACTCATGGTATAGTGGCTACCTCACACAGAAATAATTTTACAATGATACTGCAGACCTGATATATGTCAAATAAGCATATGTGTATTTTTTGTATGTAGGAAATTAACTTTATAAAATGTAAATTGCAATTGGTCATTAACTAAACTATATGAATATGAAGTTGTAAATGTCATAATGGACTCATCTTTTTTGTACAATATGACTTCTGTAATCTGAGTAAATAATATATGTAATGCTACTAGTTGATTACCATTTTGAGGATTTTCAATAGGACAATATATTTAAAAATTTTAGAGTTGATTATTCTCAAGTCTGATTTTATTTAGAATTTGAGAACAATTAAATTTCACTTATCTATCATTGAACAAAATCAGACTTATTAAAACATTGTTATTATTAAGACATACTTTTAAAATATGGTATAATATATTCCTTATAAATTTTAATAGTGTTTTAGAGATTACAACATTTGTAATGCATGATAAATTTGTGGTGAAACTTCACTTGCCTTGTCTCCTGAGAAATTTTTAATTAATAAAATATAGGGAAAAACTTATACTTTTATATAAGTTCATATATTCTTATATTTTTCATAGTGATAAAAACAAGAGAAGAACTAAAACAGTGAAGAAAACATTAGAACCCAAATGGAACCAAACATTCATTTATTCTCCAGTTCACCGAAGAGAATTTCGCGAACGAATGCTGGAGATTACCCTTTGGGATCAAGCTCGAGTACGAGAGGAAGAAAGTGAATTCTTGGGAGAGGTATCTGGAGTTATTTTTAAAGAATATACTATTTATGGCATCCTGAATACTTTTGTTAATATGATGTCACTACAATTTTACATTTAGACTATCTGAAAAGATAGACACAATAAATGAATTTAGCTTCTGCTTTAAGACAAAACTTGATGATACCATAGAAAACAATGGTTCTAAATACCCTGTGGCAATCTTTACATGCTTTTCTTATCATAGAAATTTCAGAGTTAATGATAAAAGGTTGGTTTCTAGTTCACAAATATATTGCCTTGTCTTATAGTATTGAGTTTATCTTGTTAGTTTACTAATCCGACTGTACCACTAGTAAGTAGTTCAACCATTTATTCCTGGATTATTTTTTATTTTTTATTTTTTTGAGTTGGAGTCTCACTCTGTCTCCCAGACTGGAGTGCAGTGGCTGCTCCCGGCCACCGCAGCCTTGACCTGCTGGGCTCCGGTGATCCTTCCGCCTCAGCCTTCCAAGTAGCTGGAACTACAGGCGCGCGCTACCACGCCCGTCTCATTTTGATTTATTGTAGAGATGAGGTCTCGCCAAGTTGCCCAGGTGGGTCTCGAACCCGCGGGCTCAGGCAATCCATTCACTTCAGCCTCCCAAAGGCACGGGATTACAGGCTGAGCAACCAAATCCGGCCATGGCTTATTTTTTAAGCCCTTTAATGTATTAGACATTGTTCACTAGACTTTACTAGACTGAGACTTCAAAGGTGAATAAAGCATATTACCTACTTCGAGGAATTTGCAATTCATTGGTGATACAAACAAGTGAATAATAATTATATTACAGCTTGCCAGTTGCCATATAGAGAAAAATGCAATAGGAATGTGCAGGAGAGGAGAGGTAGTTAAGGAAGTGTCTACAAAGGAAGGGAAACTTAGTGAAGGAGAGCAAAGTATCTATAGAGGGAGCAACAAGAAATCAGCGGTGTTGGGGTCTTGGCAATTCCATTAACTTTGGAAAAGAATGTGGTAAAAAAAAAAAAGAAATTTGAGGGTTAAACTGATGCCAAATCATGTATCTTAATATGTTGAGAAATTTCTATTTATCCTGTGGAAACTGAACCAAGGATTAGTAGCCTATTATCTTTAAAAAGAGAATGGTTCAGTTGCATTGGTACTTGAAAAAAATATTTCCATCTGTAGTGTGGGGAAAGAATTGGAGAGGGTCTAGATGGGAAGGAATTATGCAGTTATTAACATGCTAAGTTGCTAAGTCGTCTGCTATAATGTTTTTCAGTATGGTTGGTTTTCCTGAGAAAATTAAATGGCAATTTCATGGGAAAGACAACAATCTATAGAAGTAGCTAACTTAATATTGTCAGCTAGCAACCAAAGAGCAATGAACATAAAAAAAAAACTTTTGCGAAGAAGGGCAACACAATTGTTAGGAACAATGACTCTGGAGCCAACCGCCTGGGACTGTACAACTGGCACTACCATTTCCTAGCCTTGTGTCTTTGAGCAAGTTATTTAACTCGTGCTTTAGTTTCCTCTTCAGTTAAGTAAGAGTAATACTATTTGCAACTCAAGGCTAATAGGAGGATTAAATAAGAAACATAGAAAGCAAAATAGACCGGGCACTTTGGGAGCCCGAAGTGAGAGATTCCTTTGAGGCCAGGAGTTTGTGACCAGCCTGGGCAACATAGAGATACCCTGTCTCTAAATAATAATAATAATAATAATCCAGATTTGGTGGCATGGGCCTGTAGTTCTAGATACTCACGAGGCTGAGATGGGAGGATCACTTGAGCCCAGGAGATTGAGGCTACAGTGAGCCATGATCATGCTACTGCATTCCAGCCTGAGCAACAGAGCAAAACCCTGTCTCAAAGAAAGAAATAATATTTAAAAAATAGCTGTCTTGCGTCTTTACTTCCTGTAGCAAAATAGTAATTTATGTGGTTCTTGTAAACACGAGTATAAACACTGTCATACTTGCAAAACTCTAGAGAATAAAATAGTCATTTATTTCTACAGATTGATTTCTTTTGTAAGTTTTTAAAATATTCATATTATAAAATCTATATTATGATGTGGCTCATATTAAAAATTCATTCTTGTTTTTTCCTTTCTTGTTTTAGAAGTTTAGCAGCATAGTATGGTGAATATAGAATTTTAAATAAGACGGACTGATTTATATTACATCTCTTTCACTTACAAGTTGATGTAACCTTGGGCAGATTAGTTTAAACATTTTTTAGCCTTGGTATCCTCGTTTATGAACAATAAATAATAAGACAAAACTAGCATTTGTTTCTGATAATTACGAAAAATAGCATGGCATGGTTCTTAACATACAGTAGGCACTTCAAAATTTTTTTGTTTTTTATCTATTTAAAGGTTCTTGTAAAAGTTAAATTAGTGATCATCAATAAAAATGCTTTTAAAATTATAAAATGAGGTACAAATACTTGTCATTCTTGCAGTAATTTTCTAATAAAAACTGTTATTTCTATAATGGTAAATTTAACAGCCTCTAGTACTTTGGATAGTCAAGGGTCACAACAGATAAATGTCTTAGATATTTAAAACTATTAAATCACTAAGGAGTTATAAAAAATTATCTTTTATATATTTATTGTCAAAGCACAGTGACAATTTTGCAACATCAAAATGACTAGAGAGACAATTCTGCAACATCAAAATGACTTGATTTTGATGTAATAGCATTACCATTATAACTATTACTATCAAAATTATACAACCATTGAACAGACTTTCTTTATTATTGGTATATTATAATTGTTCTTTGTCTCTTGGATTTGTAGATTTTAATTGAATTAGAAACAGCATTATTAGATGATGAACCACATTGGTACAAACTTCAGACCCATGATGTCTCCTCTTTGCCACTTCCCCATCCTTCTCCATATATGCCACGAAGACAGCTCCATGGAGAGAGCCCAACACGGAGATTGCAGAGTAAGTTTTCAGTAACATTGATCATCCTTTTTTTGAATTTTCCTAATCTTGAATGATATATCTAATGCAGAATGTGAAGATACCATTTTGGGTATTAGCAGGCATCTGTCTATTAGTGTTTCCATGGCTCTTATTGACGGTTTTGAATTGTTTGATACAGTAAAGTAAGGTATACCCATAACATTCACCCATCACTATGTTGAAGTGCTTTATGGTTGTATTTTGGATGATATGAACACAAAATAAGCACAGTTATATTTAAATATTAGTGCATGGAATCCTAAATATAGGAATGACATAGTTAATAAAGTACTGTTTTTCATGTAGCTGTAGATACCCAAAATTATTATTTCTACCTTCATTACCCCACGTATTTCATGAATATGTAGGATAGCAAGTATAGCATGATAGTTGAAACTTGAACTTTAATCTGACTAAGTTGAGTTTAAATGATGATTCTTTCATTTTAGAGCTGTCTGACTTGAGGCAAATCATTTCCCTATGCCTGGCTTTCTCCTCATTTATAAAATGGAAACTTTGATACTTACATTACAGAGTAGTTATAAGAATTACTTAGTCTCAAGAATATACACTGATGATATTGTTGTTAATATTTTTAACATTTGCATTTTACCCTGGAGTATGCATAGTTCAAACTCGAAAATGGTATTAGATCAATCCAGAGATGCTTAAAGTAAACTCAGAAATATTTTCCAGATTGAAAAGTGATATTGTTGGCTCTTTGCCGTACAACTCAGATTTTTTTTTTTTAATCCCTGATGCTTCTATTATTGGAAGGTGAGGTGAATATTTGCTGTTTTGGATCGTATTCATGGGGTGGTTCTATCTTAATGGTGTCAGCATGTTCCAGATTTAGCAACATTTTTGTCAAGAACTGGAGAACCTAATGAAATTAACCAAAGTTTAGATGTATAAATTTATGCCTTGTCTTTTATTAATCATGGGAAGTATACCAGGTAACATAACAAACATCTATTGTCTATATGGATCACACCCTTCCTGTTGAATAAAGGGCTAAATTACATATTAGAAAGCTGTTTGATAAGTAGAGAATTAAAACAAAGGATTGGTTCTATGGGATATTTAGTTTGTCATAGGAAAGGCTAGAGAATTATCTTCAATCCTTATTTAAAAAATCTCTCTGATGGAATTTTATTTCCATTAAATACAATCTCATACACTTCAGTGTAATTAATTGTATGCTTATTCTATAGTGTTCACTTTTATCAGCCACCCCACACAGTAAACAGCCACCCACCTCTATTTGCAAATTCGATTACAACATCCTCTGTTGCGATACTTACAACATTAAAATGGGTTTTATGTGAAAGAATTTTACTCTTTTTGATCACTGTATTTAATCTATTTTCTTTAAATTACAATGTAGGTTGGTGGGTTACTACATGATGAGTATTAATATATGTAGTAACCTAATATAATTAATTATGAACTGATTCTTACAGTTTATGTTTCTAGACTACTGGCGCTAGCCAGCATTGCTGTTTCTTATAGGATTGGCCTTTTCTTCACTTACTCCAGTTTTTATTGCAGTTACTAGTATGTTTGAGGACTCAATACCTGGCACTCTTAAATCCACCAACAGTTTTCATTTTTTCCTCTCACTAATTAGGAATACTGGATTTGAGGAATAATGAGAGTAGAGTACTTTCTAGTTAGCTATATGTCTCTTAGAGTCTCATGATATTAATTTAATTTCATCATTTCCAAAATGACTCCTCTGGTACACAATCATTAATAGTATTACATTTACCCATGAGTAATATAATGACTCCATGCTCTACCATGTCTGTCTTCTCACTATCAGCTAACCTCTAATAAATAATTTAGTAACAGTGTATAGGCCTGGATAAGTAAAAACATGTGCATACACATAAAATAAACAAAGACTAGGAAATAACATTTAGGAATAGACAGAAACTTAAAAACATTACCATTAGATTGCTCATAAATGGCAAGAACCTCCTTAAGCATTTTTCTCGATGGAGAGGGTAAATATTACATTTCTTTATGAGTATATTTCATATTGTCAAAGATCATGATCATAGCATTTGATGGAACATATGTATGAACAGTTATCAAGTGTATAATAACCCCTCATTTATTCCCTATGTTTAGATAATAGTGTATTTTGGTGATTCAGTCGCTAATACTATGAATATCACTCTGAGGTTATGAACTTATTGAATGTATATGGATATTCATTGATATTTACTGTGAATAAATGGTACTGTTAGAATTCCTTCCTCCCTACTCATGATTTTCTGTTTTAAATTTGCAGATTTAATTTATTCAAACCAGTACTTCATTTACATGAACATCAGTAATTTATAACTTATTAATACTTAAGAAAACATTTAAAAATAATTGTTTTATATATCTTATAGATAACTTAAATATTTTTAACAAATCTTTTTGAGATGGGATTTCAGACAACTTTAATTATAAGCTTTGTATGGTTTCCTAAATGAAAGGATTGTTAAAAGTAAGTATTTGAAATAGATGATTTCTTTTTATACCAATATCCCTGCATGAAATAAACTAAGAATGTTCCATGTAACAAAATATCTACAGAAATGGTCACAGGCTTATTGCTCCAAAATCTGAAAGAAATTAGATTAGGAAGAATAGACATTTTAATGACAAGATAACATTTTCTTCACTATTGTTTAATATCAGAGTACTCCCAAATATTGTTATTCTGACATTACCAAAGGAAAGAGGAACCATGCATATTTCAAAGATTGATTATGCAGTTTTAAAAATGTATAAGCAAGACTGGAGTATTCAAATATATAAATAGAGAAATGAGGTTACTTTTGAGATGACAAAATATTTCACATTTGCATACAATTTTTGGACTTGTTAATGATAAACTTTATTCATTACCAACTTGGAACATAAAGAGATTGAAAAAGTGTATGTGGGGCTGGACTCCGTGGCTCAGCCTGTAATTCTAGCACTTTGGGAGGCCGAGGCGAATGGATTGTCTGAGCCTGCGGGTTTGAGACCCACCCAGGCAACTTGGCGAGACCTTGTTTCTACAATAAATCAAAAATTAGCCGGTTGTGGTAGCACATGCGCCTGTAGTTCTGGCTACTTGGGAGACTGAGGCAGAAGGATCACTGGAGTCTAGAAGGTCGTTGCTGGGGTGCCCATGAGCATGCCACTGCACTACAGCCTGGGTGACAGAGTGAGATTCCAACTAAAAAAAAAAAAAAGAAGTGTATTTTGATATTTACGTTTTTATTGTTATGTATTTTTTACTGTTATTCAGTTAAAGTTATAGTGTCTTAAGGGAAAAAGCTCTCTTTTAACATGACAGAAGTTATTTACATATTTGTTTATTCCTTGAAATTTTATTAACCAGTCTCATAATTTGAAGTATGAAGTTCCAATCAGTTTTAATTTGATTCTTCATTCTTCTTTGTCTTCTATTAACAATATTTATCTCTTTGACTTTTCCAATTCTAATTCTTTATTTAACAAAATTTAATATCTTTCAGTTTTAAAAATAGAGAGCATAATGTCTACTATATTTTCAGTCAGTCCCATAACCACACATTTTCGAAGAAAAGTGAATAGGACCAAATTATTGTGCCAGATCTTAAATGATGTTGCTGAGAGACAGAAGATGAAAGAGACATGATTTCATAATTATGGTTTTTCAGGGTTTCAACTATTTGTGGAGGGTATATTTGGGCCATTATTTCTTCCAATTTTCTACCCATTCATTTCTTCCTTTCTTGGATTGCAGTTAAATATATAAATAATTATTGACATTGTTCAACACATTACTAAGGC